ATAAATATTAATAGTGTGCTTGGTTAGTGGCTTTTTGCATCTATAGGATGAGAATTTGGAACCAATATTAAAATATCATCTGAATAAAGAGGGGGGGAAAAGGCTTAATAAATTTACCAAGAATTTGGGAAAATAAATAGTGTGTAAATATTAATAGAGTGTTTGGTTAGTGGCTTTTTGCATCTCTAGGATGAGAATTTTAGAATTAATAGAATTAAAATATCATCTGAATAAAGAGGTGGGGGGAGAAAGGCTAAATAAATTTACCAGGAATTTGGGAAAATAAGTGGTACGTAAATATTAATAGTGTGCTTGGTTATTGGCTTTTTGCATCTATAGGATGAGAATTTTAGAACTAATAGAATTAGAATATGAATTAAATTAATTAATATGAATTAAAATATCATCTGAATAAAGAGGCGGGGGGAGAAAGGCTGAATAAATTTACCAGGAATTTGGGAAAATAAGTGGTACATAAATATTAATAGTGTGCTTGGATAGTGGCTTTTTGCATCTCTAGGATGTGAATTTTAGAACTAATGTGAATTAAAATATCATCTGACTACACTTGTGTATTCCAGATGCACCTGAGTAGTGCTTGTAGATTCTTATTTTAAAACAAAACCCATCATAATTCACATTTCTTGTGCATTTTGATACAGATATCTGTCTACTAGTGGAGCACTCAGGAATATCCTCATTTAAAGGAAGAGGCAGAGGAAATGATGTCCAAACCCTATTTAGCATGAATGATTATGCCAATAGCACTCTAAATTAATTTGGTGCATTTAATCAATATTTCCAGTGTAAATGCTGATTTCTTCCTGGTTCTGCTGTCACTTCTGCATTGTCCTCAATTATTTCTCAGGCAGGAATAATATTCTTAAATTACCAAGTAGGTTCATTATAAATGCAAAGTAATTTAGATCCTGTCTGTGGCCTTGTTGGCCTCCAGAACAGATCATTAATGATTCACAGATGAATATTTGATGTACAAACCCTATTTAGCTTAAGTGATTCTGCCAACAGGATTTGAAATTAATTTACTCCGTTTAATCTCTATTTCCAGTGGAAATTATATATATTTTTTTTAATCTATTAATTTCCAGGTTGATACTCAATGGAGAACATAAAGATAAATAAATAGTTGGGGAATCTAAATGTGCTCCATGTAGATGAAGTGAGGAATGGAGCTCCACATGCCTCTCATGTGAGGTTTAAAAGGAAAATTGGATTTTTCCCTTCTTACTTCATGCAACTCTCTCACCACATTACAACCCTTGAGTTTATCCCCTCATATCCAGTGGTTGCCTCTAGCTGTGGGTAAATAATAAATAAATATATTCATTTTTTTCACCTTTTTCAATTTTTGCAATACCTTGAAGCAATGAAGAAATCCCAGTTTTTGTTTTCTCTTGGAGAGTTGCTGGTCCCTGGAGCTCTTGGAATTGCAATGGACTATTTGAAATTAAGAGGCTTAACCTGAGAAAAATATTATAAATACAAACCTCCTTTGCTGGGTAACACAGAGTCAGTGATACCTCTGCTCCATCATTCACAAATACCTACAAACTCCAGTCAAAATTTTCATTTTTCATTCTCAGCCCTATGGGATGGGAGTGCTTAAAGACAAGATATTCCTTTCCAAAATGTCCTGGAGAACATTAGGATGATTCAAATATGATTTTTCTGCTAGCTCTGCTGCCAGGTTTAATTAAGAGCACAGGCCTTTCATGTTGTCTGTGTCAGTAAAATATTAATTCCCCATCAATTCCCACGATGGGAACCAGGGGCTCAACATTTAATTCCATGGTTTTTGTATGATTGGGTGTAGACCTTAACAAAGAGTAGGGGAACAAGAGGTAGAACGGCTTCGTTCTTTGGAATAAAATAAAATAAAATAAAATAAAATAAAATAAAATAAAATAAAATAAAATAAAATAAAATAAAATAAAATAAAATAAAATAAAATAAAATAAAACAACAGATAAGAAGTGTTGATAACCCCTGTCACTCTTGTTTTTACAGAGCACAACCAACTCCCCTTTTGTCATTGGGATTATTGGGATGTTTCCAGAAATTAGATCAGTGCAGGCCCTTAGGGTAGGAAGTCTAAGGTCAGCCAATAACTAAAAATATCTGATTATCAGCCAACATGTGCATTAGATACTAAGGAAAAACTATTTAGAGCAAGCACACAACTCCAAATAATAAACAAAGGATTTGATGCTTTCAGAGAGAATTTTTAAATGATCCCTGAGAATTTCTGCTCTGAAAAATCTTAGAGATGATTGTCCTGAAGGCTGGACACTGAGGATTAAAAGTAATAAAGGAATTAATTAGCAGAGCCAGCAATGTTATTAATAGTATTTATTAATAATATGTATTAGTAATTTTTATTAATAAAGGGGAGAGTTTGGGAGCCTTTGTTGTACTTGAATTAATTTGAGAACTGACAGTAAAAATTGAAATGCCTCCTCAGAGTGGACCAGCATTTTAATGATTTTTAAATAAATTTTTTAAAGTTTTTAGCAGATTTGTTTCAAGCTGGGGGTGGGTTTGGAACCAAGCACCTTCAAATAAATGGGAAATAAAAATTCCCGCTGTCCTTCCCTGGGTATCAGAGATCCTTCACCCCATACAAACTCTCAGAAAAAGGAGAGGTCAGGACTCTGAGAGGAGCATTTTGGGTGGGGTTTTATATTCCAGAATTGTGGAATTGTCCCTGGAGCACAACTTCCCCTAAAAGGTGGAATTCCATGTTCCAGCCAGGTGTTGTGATTGAGCAGAATTCTGGGAGTCACTCAGGGATTGCTGCTGACACATCCCGCCCACTTTCCCACCAATCTGTACTAAAATCCACATTTTCCAGCTGGTTTTGGGCAGTGCAGGGAACACCAATAAATATTCCAGTATTTGCTCTGGGTGCTGAAGGTGTTTGACAAAAACAAACCCTTTTAAGGAGCTTGATGACCCCTTGGAGATCCTGTTGGGGTGGGAGTTCTGCTGCAAATAAATCAAGGATTGGGAAAGAAATGATCCAGTAGAAAAAAAAAATTAAAAAAAAACCAAAAACACACACACAAAAAAAAGGAAAAAAATAAAAAAAAAAAGCCCAAAAACCACCCACATTTTCCTTAGGAGCCCAGACTTCCCATTTTGTCAATCCATCCCTTTTGGGATGGCCATTCTTGGTGTGGGTGCCCTGATCCCTTTGGTTTGTGGGGAAGTGCTCACTTGGATGCTGTGGAAGAATCCCTGTGGAATTATTCCAGTTAAATCCCAGTTTTTGTTTGGCTTTGGCTCAGGGAAGTGACATGCTTATCCAGGAGATCCTGTTGTGGGAGGTCTGCTGCAAATAAATCAAGGATTGGGAAATAAATGATCTGGCAGAAAAAAAGCCCAAAATTTTTCTCAGGAGCCCCAACTTCCAATATTGGGATCTCCAAAATTGGGGATTGGGATTTGGGATCCCCAACCCTTTTGGGATGGCCATTCTTGGTGTGGGTGCCCTGATCCCTGTGGTTTGTGGAGAAGTGCTCACCTTGATGCTGCAGTGCAATTCCTGTGAAATTTCCCTCTTAAATCCCAGTTTTTGTTTGGATTTTGCCCAGGAAAGCAACATGCTCATCCAGGAGAACCTGTTGGGTGGGAGTTGTGCTGCAAATAAATCAAGGATTGGGAAAGAAATGATCCTGCTCAAAAACCCCACACATGTTTCTCAGGAGCCCAAACTTCCAATTTTGGGATCCCCAAAATTAGGGATTGGGATTTGGGATACCCAGCCCTTTTGGGATGGCCGTTCTTGGTGTGGGTGCCCTGATCCCTGTGGTTTGTGGGGAACCTTGGAGCTGTGGAGGAATTCCTGGGGAAATATCCCTGTGAAATCCCAGGTTTTTTGCCCAGGAAAGCAACGTGCCCATCCAGGAGATCCCGTTGTGGAGTTCTACTGCAAATAAATCAGGGATTGGGAAAGAAATGATCCTGCTCAAAAACCCCCCACACATTTTTCTCAGGAGCCCAAAGTTCCCATTTTGCCAGTCCTAGTGACCATTCTTGCTGTGGGTGCCCTGGCCCCTGTGGTTTGGTGAGAACCTCTGCAGTTCCTGTGGATTCTCCCAGTGAATTCCCAGTTTAACATTAATTTTTTGTTGGGATTTGCCCAGGAGAGTGACATGCCCATCCAGGAGCTGCTGAGCCGCTACGGCTACGATGGCACCGTGCCCCTGCAGGAGGAGGAGGAGGAGGAGGAGGAAGAGGAGGAGGAGGAGGAGGGAGAAGATGATGATGATGTCGATAACGATGACAACAGCGGCTGCAGTGGGGAAAACAAGGTACATACATGAGTGCTCATTTGCATATGTAAATTTGTGATTTGCATACCCACACTACTCAGTGGCCCAGGTCGTGGCAGAGCTAATTTGTTAGAGTTTATTTCATAAACCTTGCTTTACTACTAAGGTTTATTCTTAATTACCAATCCGTATTTCTCTTAATTGCTCTTAATTCCATCTCTCATCCCAAACAGAGGCAATTGAAAATCCCTGGATGCAGCATCCCATGAGGGATGGGAATTGTCCTTCAGAGCTCAGCACTGACATTTTAAATGCCTGCAGACACCTTTAGAGATACAGCTGAACACTTACTTGGAGTGGAAAAGCTGATTATTGAAACTGCACAAGTGTGGAGTTGGATTAAATGTGGCTCTGGGTCTTGGAAATCCTGCAGGTTTTCCAGCTTGAGCCTTTTAAATTTGTTTTTCCAGCCTGGTTGTACTTGAATTAACTCAACCTAATGCTTTGAGTATCTTTGCCAAATGTTTAGTTTTGAGCTTAGCATCTTCAAACTCCTTTTCTATGTTCTCTTCAAATAGTTTTCTGATTTTAAAAAAGAGATTTTTCTACTTGGAATATAGAGTCCTGTCATGGGCACAGCTGCTGCATCCTGAATTCCATTAAGATACAAACCCTTTGGAATTGTCAGTGACACAAAAGCTGAGGCATTAGAGGAGGTTTCATTTCCTAATGTGCCTTTAAAAGAGATCCATTCTGGCCTTTTGGTACCTTTACCTGTTTGAGAATCCCTGGAATGGCACATCTGAGTCAGGAACTGAATTCCTGGGATTTGCAAGCTGCCTTGGCAGGTGCTGCAGAAGATTGTTCTTTGTGGGGGTTGAACAGTTCAAAAGGAGATCCAGAGTGAGCTTGGAACAGGAAATTTCAGGGGAGGGGGAGAAATTTATGTAACATGAAGGCTGCAGGGAGAATTCTGTCAGGAGAATTCTGTCAGGAGAATTTCCTCGTGGAAAGGCTTTGCACGGGGCTGGAGTGTCCAGGGAACCCTGGATGTGACACTCGGGGCTCTGGGTGGTGACAGCATGGGGATGGGCCCCAGCACTGGCCCAGTTACACCAGTTCAGCCCTGCTCTGGGAGCCAGGACCTCCCAGTTCAGCCCAGTTCACACCAGTTCAGCCCTGCTCTGGGAACAAGGACCACAAATCCCATCCCAGTTCACACCAGTTCAACCTTGCACTGGGAACAAGGATCCCAAATCCCAGCCCAGTTCACACCAGTTCAACCTTGCACTGGGAACAAGCACCCCAAATCCCATCCCAGTTCACATCAGTTCAGCCCTGCACTGGGAACAAGGATCCCAAATCCCAGCCCAGTTCACACCAGTTCAGCCCAGCCCAGCACTGGGAACAAGGACCCCAAATCCCATCCCAGTTACACCAGTTCAGCCCTGCTCTGGGAGCCAGGACCTCCCAGTTAAGCCCAGTTCACACCAGTTCAGCCCTCACTTGGAACAAGGACCCCCATATCCCAGCCCAGTTCAGCCCTGCACTGGGAGCCAGAACTTCCCAGTTCAGCCCAGTCCATCCCAGTTCAGCCCAGCCCAGCACTGGGATCAGCCCAGTCCATCCCAGTTCAGCCCAGCCCAGCACTGGGATCAG